ATTTCTTTATTTATACTCCGTCCCTCTGGCTAAGTTTCCCCAGCCACTCTGGGCAGCTCCCAACAGAATATTAAAAGCACAATAAACCATCAAACATTAAAAACTTCCCTAAACAGGGCTGCCTTCAGATGTCTTCTAAAAGTCAGATACAGTGGTACCTCGGGTTAAGTACTTAATTCATTTCGGAGGTCCGTACTTAACCAGAAACTGTTCTTAACCTGAAGCACCACTTTAGCTAATGGGGCCTCCTGCTGGCCCCGCGCCGCCGGAGCACAATTTCTGTTCTCATCCTGAAGCAAAGTTCTTAACCTGAGGTACTATTTCTGGGTTAGCGGAGTCTGTAACCTGAAGCGTATGTAACCTGACACGTATGTAACCCAAGGTACCACTGTAGTTGTTTATTTCCTTGACATCTGATGGAAGGGAGTTCCACAGGGCGGGTGCCACCACCGAGAAGGTCCTCTGCCTGGTTCCCCGTAACCTCACTTCTCGTAGTGGATGGGGTGGAGGTGAAAACTGAGGCAAACGGGGCTGCAGAACAGAAGTGGCGGCTTAAGAAATGGGCTGGGGAAGGTGAAAAGTGAGCTCCATAGTTGCATAGGGTGGGGAGGGGAAGCTCTGCAGGGTTAATGTGAGGAGGGGAAACAGCAGGGAAGTCAGTGTGTGGAGTGATCAGGGACACAGCTCTGCGGAATCAAGCCTGTGGCCCATCTAGTCTGGCATGGTGCCCTCGCAGTGTGGTGTAGTGGTTAAGAGCAGTAGACTCGTAATCTGGTGAACCGGGTTCGCTTCCTGCTCCTCCACATGCAGCTGCTGGGTGACCACTTCTCTGAAGTCTCTCAGCCCCACTCACCTCACAGAGTGTTTGTTGTGGGGGAGGAAGGGAAAGGAGAATGTGAGCCGCTTTGAGACTCCTTAAAGGGAGTGAAAGGCGGGATATCAAATCCAAACTCTTTTTCTTCTTCTTCAGCCAGACGCCCGTGGGAAGCCTGCAAGCGGGACCAGAAGGCTCCCCAGTTGTGATTCCCAACATCTTGCCTCTGATAATGAAGGGAGAACACAGCCATGGATAGCCTTACCCTCTATGATTTGTACTTGTATTTGCAGGTTATCCCTGTGCATGGCCAGCGGTGTTGAGTCGGGGATTAGCCTCTGCCCCCTATTTTGCCCTTGGCTCCCATTGACTTCCAGCAGAGAATCAAAACAGGCCCTGCACCTCTGAATTCTGACCCCACCCCCCTGGAACTGTAAATGTGCTGACTACATGTCTGTTTTGTTTTAGGGTGATTGTCCTTGACAAGGGTGAAATTGCGGAATATGGCTCCCCTGCCAGCCTAATCCAGAAGAGAGGCATGTTCTACAGCATGGCCAAAGACTCTGGCTTGGTTTAACGCCTGGTTCGCGGCTTCTCTCGCTGGGGGTGCAGCTCAGAAGAGGACTGGCGAACCAAACACGGAGGAAGACGGCAGCATCTGCCAAAATCCATTGCCCAAGAAACTCCAGCCAAACAATTCCACTCCTTGCAATGTAATGGAGACACAACAGGCACAAAATCTACTTCTCTCCTCTTCTCTACACTTTCCTGACCTTTTAAAGGGTTAGTTTTCAAGCATAGCAATAGCGATGGACAGGTTGTTTCTTTGAGCCCCAATCCCATCTATTTACCTAGAGCAGGGGTGGCTATATTTTGGCCCTTCGAATGCTGCTGGTCTGAGTCCCCTCTGACCCCGTTGGCCACGACCAAATTGAGTCCTTGGAGGAGGCCTGGCTGAATTTGTGCCTAAAACATTGCTCAGCCATCCTGGTTTTTGTGGCAAGGAGCTCTTGGAGAGACTGGATAATTTCCTTTTGAAAACCCAGCATCTCAATGGGAGAAAACTTTAGGATGGCTAAATAGAGGATGGCTAAATAGAGGATAGGAATAGCACAGTCCAAAACTTTAACACCACGAGCAGAATTGTCACATGCTGGCATGGGGGGAGAGGAGTGAGGGATTTCCCTTCTATTCTGATAAAACATGCTTATTGCATACATTTATCTAGAGCAATTCTGGCTTGTTTTGAGGATGGAGGGAAAAAATGAAAATGGAAGACCAGGTGGTTTTTGTTCTTGGCCGTAGGAAGATGGGGGTTTGTTTTATTATTCCCAAGAACTTTACCCTATACCATAAGATACATATATATTTAACCCTGTGGATTAAAGAATCACTCCCAGTTGTAAGCAAAATGCTTTTTTGTTGTGGTTCCAAAAAGGAAAATTCAGCCTAATCGTTTCTGTCCAAGGTCCTTTCTCCTCTCCCCCGACCCCCAGCCGTTGTGTTCTTTTAATTGGAAAGGATCTGCAACAAAAACCCACAATTCTTGTGTTCTCCACAGTCATTTTACCAAAGCAAAGCTGGAAGGAAAATCAAACTTATCAGTGCATCTAAATGCTCACTCCAGGAGCTTGGAACAGCAGACTTTGAATTATGTTGCTGACTTTTTTTTCTTTTTTTTTAAAGACATGTCTTTTCTTAGAATAAAGTTATTTATTTTTTTTGTAAATACAATTCTCTAAAGTTAAATAGATCGAAATTTACTTTGGTATTTTTGTAATGACTCATGGAAAGAGCTTTCAGTAAAAACCTTTTTGTTTGGAGAACTGTCCTCGTTCTTTGTAAACCTGCAGAAAATAGCAGTAGGGTTGCTGTATACAGAGGTGGTAGGTTTTGTCTCCCCAACATGGGAATACAGTGGTACCTCAGGTTACATACTCTTCAGGTTACAGACTCCGCTAACCCATAAATAGAGCTTCAGGTTAAGAACTTTGCTTCAGGATGAGAATAGAAATCGTGCTCCGGCGGCACGGTGGCAGTGGAAGGCCCCATTAGCTAAAGTGGTGCTTCAGGTTAAGAACAGTTTCAGGTTAAGTACGGACCTCCAGAACGAATTAAGTACTTAACCCGAGGTACCACTGTACTGGACTTATTGTAACTCCTTGGGCGTGTGGTTTAATTTGGGTTTTGCAAGGTGAAATATGTGGGTTTTGTGGACAATTGTAAGTTGCACTTCTGTGTTTATGAAAAGGCTTAGGTAACTCTGTGCTTTAATAATGGTAAGTGGCCATGGGGCTGTAGATAAGATAGCTTTTTCTATGGTTTTCTGACAAAGGTAGCAAAGATAATTTGTTTTGAACCAAAGCTCTGAACTTTTTAGTGTCACGCGAGGAACAGTCCCATGATAGCTGGAACAAACAAAGCTAGGAAATCCCCTTCTGTGGCAACCCTGAGGTCAAACATCACATGATTTCAAGAGCATGTGATCAGCATGGGAGATTCTAATCAAAGGGGAAACCCATTCTTAAATGGGAAGCTGTTGGAAGGGGCCCTAACTCAGCAGGGCACACGCTGATCATCCAAACCTGTTTTTCCCAATTGGGCCTGCATGAAACTTAAGGCCAAGGCTGGAGACACAGGGATGCAAATTGCAGCATCCCAAGTGAAAGGGCGCATGAGTGACCGGTTTCAGGTGGTGTGGCAAGGAGAATGCTCCTCTGTTACCTCCATTATTCCAGGTTGAAGGCTGCCAGTACCTTTCTGAGCACAATTCAAAGTGTTGGTGCTGACCTTGAAAGCCCTAAACGGCCTCGGCCCAGTATACCTGAAGGAGCTTCTCCACCCCCATTGTTCAGCCCGGACACTGAGGTCCAGCCCAGAGGACCTTCTGGCGGTTCCCTCCCTGCGAGAAGCGAGGTTACAGGGAACCAGGCAGAGGGCCTTCTCGTTGGTGGCACCCTCCTATCAGATGTCAAGGATATAAACAACTCTCTGACTTTTAGAAGACATCTGAAGGCAACCCTTTTTAGGGAAGTTTTTTATGTTTGATGTTTTACTGTACTTTTAATATTTTGTTGGAAGCTGCCAAGAGTGGCTGGGGAAACCCAGCCAGATGGGTGGGGTATGAATAATAAATTATTATTACTGCATTAAGACATGATAAAGGGGAGGGGAGGTGGGCAGATGGAGAGGAGAGCCTTCCCCATCCTCTGTACGAATGTGGCAAAATAGCTTATTTTCAGCAGCAGCAGAGAAGACCTGCCTTGCTGCATCAGACCAAAGTACCATCTGTTCCAGCATCACCCCCCCCCCATCCTTTCCACACCAGTTCCTCTAGGACACAGGTGGGGAACCTTTTTGGCTCCGGTGATCAGATCTTTATCCTGGTCGCAGCCCAGGTCCAACTTTGACAGGTGGGTGGGGTAGCACACCTGCCAGTCACATGACCTCACAATAAAACCACATGTCTGGCAGGTGGGTTGTCCTGCCTGCCAAAATCCCTCTCCCCCCCCCCCAAGTGCCAGGTGGAAAAACCCACCTTTCTCCCTCATCTGATTGGGGGGGGGACACCTGCATTTTGCAAGCACCAGCTGCTTGAGGGCAAAGTCCCTCTCATAGCAGATGTCTGCCCCCCCCCAAAGGGCTGCTTGGCTTCAGCTGTGAGTGAGATTTGCTATAGAGCTGCCTTACTTAAGAGATGGGAGAAAAAGTTTTCCGCCTGCAGATCTCAAAAGCACACCATACCCCAATTCAGAAAGTGAAATCTAAAGTAGGAAGAGCCTGCTGGATGAGGAAATCAGACAGGTATCTGTGAAAAGTTTCCACGCCAGGGTGGGTCGGTGGGAGACCTCAGGCCAGGGTGCAGGTCAGGAATGGCTTTCCAGGCTGATTTATTGAGGTCTTGAGGCTCTGGAAGGCCACGAACCCTCCCCTCCAGAGCTGCAATAATGCCAGAACACAATAACAGAAGGCTGCTGGATCAGGCCAATGCCCATCTCCTGCAGCATCCTGTTTTCCCAGCGGCCAAGTGGGAGCCTGCAAAGAGGACTGCAGTGCAACAGTGCACTCTCCCCTCCTGCAAGTTGCAGCAACTCATCCTCCAAAGCATGTCGCCTCTGCAACACAGCCATCCGAGTTAGGAGCCACTGATGGCTTCATCCTGCACAGGACCAGCATTAACAGCCAATTTACAAGATGCACCTTTTTATTTAGAGGACGAAACGGTTGTTTAATTCAAACTAGATCACGTGTGTATAGCCTATGCAAAATAAAACACACACCAAAAAACAATGTATTTAAAAATCTCCAGCGGTCTGCTTTCCTTCCAGGCTTAGGTGGGGCAAATCTGGTGTAGGTAAACTTGCCCAGATCTGCAGCGGCAGAGCTAAGAGTCTTTTGCAAGCTGCATCCTGCTCATTCAAAAAGAAATAAAAGCATCTATCCAATGCTACTACCCACAATTCCTGCAGGTGAGTCTTCAGCTCTCTAATGCGTTGTACTTTTAGTTCAGATTAGAAGCAGGTTTCAAGTATCTCCATCATTGTTACATCTGCTTTCAAAGGGCGCTTATGATGAACTCGTTTGGCAGCTGCTCGCCTGGCCTGCAACTTGCCCGTGGGGACGAAAGAAAAGCAGAGGTTTTCTCCTGTCGGGTCACCGGGGCAGGAAATTTCCGATAGCCACCCCAACAGAGAATCTAGCCTCAACATTCACAGCATCGGTTTATCTAGATCACCTATCTGGACATTATTTTCCCTAAGATTTGCTCTATACTCTATGGATATATCAGAAGCTGGTCCTGTTCTAGCCAAACATGTAAAAAGGAGGGAAGGATCTGAGGCACTGAGATCTTTGACTCTTAGCAGAAAGATGATCATTTGGGTCAGAAAGACAAAATTCTAGGCCTGGAACCTATCTCCTCACATTTACTTCTCGGCACTAATTTAAAATTGCTTCGGAAATCTCGAAGCACTTATATAAAGCTCCAAATGAATACAAAAACAGATTTTGGAGCGCCTGGGTAGCAAACAAGGGCACTACCAGGGGTCTCTGAAGTTGAAGAGGCAAGCTGAGGTTCTGAGGACCCCTGCAAAATTAAAAAACCTGGCCACCAACTTCAAATCAGTTGCTACAGAAGCCCTGAAGTGCCTCATTTTGTTAGAAGCTACCTTTAAAAAACGGGATTTATTTTTTCACAGGGACCTCATCAACATTCCCCAGGGAGAGAGAATTTTGGAACCAAATGTCTCTTCAGGCTGCATAAAAGGCCTTAGCAATTTACACACACAAACAGAGAGAGAGAGAGAGAAATATCATTGAGGTTTCCAATTGCAACGCTTCCTCTTAATGCCAAAATAGGAGGAGAATGGGGGAGAGTGCCAAAGCGCAAAGATGAATTAAGACGCTGCACCAGTTCGACACTTTTCCGTGGACAATGCAGGCATGATTTTTGCAAGAAAGAACATGCACTTGTTGGACGTGAGGCTGGAGGAACACATCCCACTTCTTGGCCAAAGGTTCTTCTTGCACCGAAATCTTCAGAGGCAAAAAAAGGCACAGCGGAAAAAATTATTTCCATAAACTCCAGAAAAGGAAAAAAAGCATATATTTTAAAAAGCGCGCGCCTAATGTTGCTCAGAGACGCCTGTAGGTGCCGACAAGAGCGTTGCAGCTGGGACAGTAGTGGTCAACGTCTTGAAGCGAATCCACGCAGAAGGGGATGAGGCAGCAGCCAGCGACACACCTGTCGAGAGAAAGCAGGCAGCCTTCAGAACACAGACTCTTGCCCCAGGTACTCTGTGACTGCCGTTTCCGGATAAGATCAGTAACACGGCTACAGGTGCTAACAACATTGAGCAAGGCGTACGGACCTTCCGGCTCAGCTCAAGGCAGTTTCCTAATGCAATACAGCACCATCGCATCTTACTCCTGTTCTGTGGAGTCTATGCAAACTTCCGTGCGCACAAGCATCCCTGGTCTTCTGCAGCTGGTGTATCAAAAGGGCCTTATCACTCACTCACCAAGCAAGGCAGAGAGCTTAAGAATGCAAGAAGAGGTCTGCTGGATCAGGCCACTAGCCCATCTGCCAGTGCCTTTCCGAGCATAATTCAAAGTGTCGGTGCTGACCTTGAGAGCCCTAAACGGCCTCGGCCCAGTATACCTGAAGGAGCGTCTCCACCCGCATTGTTCTGCCTGGACACTGAGGTCCAGTTCTGAGGGCCTTCTGGTGGTTCCCTCCCTGCGAGAAGCGAGGTTACAGGGAACCAGGCAGAGGGCCTTCTCGGTGGTGGCACCCTCCTATCAGATGTCAAGGAAATAAATAACTATCTGACTTTTAGAAGACATCTGAAGGCAACCTTGTTTAGGGAAGTTTTTAATGTTTGATGTTTTACTGTATTTTTAATATTTTGTTGGAAGCTGCCCAGAGTGGCTAGGGAAACCCAGCCAGATGGGCGGGGTATAAATAATAAATTATTATTATTATTATTATTATTATTATTATTATTATTATTATTTAGTCCAGCATCCTGTTCTTGCAATGGCCAACCAGGTGCCTGCGGGAAACCGGGAAACAGGACTCGCCGTGGTCTCCAGCCACTGTTTGGAAGCACTGATGCCTCCAACTGTGGAGGAAGGGCAAAGCTATCATGGCTGGGAGCCACAGATAGGCTTTTCCTCAATGAATTTGTCTAACCCTTTTAAGTGGTTAGTGTGTCTGACTAGGACCTGGGAGTTCAAATCCCCGCTTGCCCCTGATTCCTGCATTGCAAGGGGTTGGAGCGGATGACTCTTTGGGGACCCCCCTTTTTTTATTCATTCTTTTATTTATATTTTATACCTTTACAGTGGTACCTCTGGGTGCGAACGGGATCTGTTCTGGAGCCCCGGTCGCATCCTGAAGCGAACATAACCCATGTCTGCGGGTCGCGATTCGCCGCTTCCGTGCATGCACGTGATGTTATTTTGAGCGCATGCGCGAGCGGCGAAACCTGGAAGTAATGCGTTCCGTTACTTCCAGGTCGCTGTGGAGCGCAACCCAAAAATGCTCAACCCGAAGCTACTTCAACCCGAGGTATGACTGTATTTACATTAATTTTTACAAAGTTAATAACCATAAATAAATAAGAATAAAAATGTGCACCCCACCATCGAGACTCTTCCATTGTAACTATCCAAGCTCCCAAAATTTCAACACCTCTTGCAATGGCTTTGACCCCTTTCCGTTTTAACAGTACAAATTCTACAAAGGCCCTCCATATCTCCTCAAAATCATTCCTCCTGCATATTCCTCGTCTTACCTTAATGGCACGTGTTAATTTATAATTAATAGCTATATCCCACACCTCTCTATACCATTCTTCCATTTTATATTCTGCTTTCCCCTTCCACTTCCTAGCTATCATAATTCAGGCAGCTGTCAATAAATTTGTGAGTGAGTCCTTCGTAGCCTGCGAACCTTCCATCCCATCGTAAATTGATAACAGTACTACCTCTGGACTCTCGGTCAGCTTTAACCCAGTGATTTCTGTTATCTCCTTGAACACCCTTTGCCAAAAAAACTGTACATATTTACACCCCCACCACATGTGAACTTAATTCCCTGTTTCCTGGCATCCCCTCAAATGGGACCCCTGACAACTCCCAAGATTCTGTGAAACTCACTGGGTGACCCTGAGTGAGTAACTGCCTCTGGGCCTAACCTAATTAACAGGGTTGTTGTGGACATTACATGAGGAGTGGGAGAGCCCACATACGCCACTTCGAGCTCCTTGGAGAAGGCGGTTGATATATGCATCGTCGTCATCATCATCATTTTGGTTGTGAATGTTCCTCCTGTGTAATGTGGGAGCAGCCAACCTCCAGCCCTCCAAGAAACTGCCAGGCTCCTATCTCCCATCAGCCGCGGCCAGCATGCCCAATGGTCCCAGCTCAGCAGCGACCTGGCTTAATGCATACAAGAGATTAGCATACAAAGGCAGCTGGCAAGGACCTACTTACCCCACCAGGAAGAGGCCGCCACAAGCCAGCCAGGTCAGCGCCCCAGAGGTGTACGAGAGGCGCGTCAAAATGGTTTTTTGACACGCAGGGCAGTTCATCTGGACGGGACGGTCGTGGAAGACCAGCGGTGCCTGGACGTAAACCGTCTGAACAGTAACTGGGGCAGTAGAGGAGGCAAAGAGACAAGGGCGAGAGGGTCACACTCCTTTCCTGCTCAACCTCGGACTCCCTCTTCCTCCTCAACACCCGGGCGAAAGTGCCTTGCAAAACCGGCTCGCCAGAAGCTCAGATCCACTGGGAGAAAAGCCACCCCAATGGGAAATCAAAACGAACCATCTCAAGGAGGATGCAAGAGGCTTCCTCTTCTGTCTTGGCTCCTGGCTTTCAGATGCCGACATGGCTGAACCCCCAAGAAGGGAACAGGGGATGTTGCTGGGCTGCAGCTCAGCCTGGGCGACGGTCAGAGACCATGATGGGAGCTGCAGTCCAGCTGTGTCTGGAGGGTTATGGGGTTCAGTCTGAGGGGCACGTGCTGATGTTATAAAGGCCTGGGGTCTCGTTTGCACTGTGCATTTAAAGCACTACGCTACTGTCGCTTCAAGGAATCCTATCCCTCCCATGGTGGCAGCCAAGTAGAGAAACAAGAAGAGTTCATACCGAGTCTTTTACAGTGGTACCTTGGTACTCGAACGGCTTGGCTCCCAAACAAATCGGCTCCCGAACGCCGCAAACTCGGAAGTAAGTGTTCTGGTTTTCGAACATTTTTCAGAAGCCAAATATCCGACGCAACTTCTGCTTGAGTGCAGGAAGCTCCTGCAGCCAATCAGAAGCCGCGCCTTGGTTTTTGGATGGTTTTGGGAGTCGAACGAATTAAGTTAGAGAACCAAGGTACCACTGTATTTAATATTCACAGAGAGAGATGTAGAAATGTCATCTCTTAGACAATGGCGTCGCTCCAAGTAAAGCCCCACCCCCTCCGTCTCTCCTATTCTACATCACCCCTGTGCTGGCTGATCTGTGCTTTCTGCCTCTGAGTTTTCTGTTCTCCTACTCTCAATGCTCGCCTGGTCCTGGGAGAGTGAGGGGTCAGGAATGCTCTCCAAAGACACTGAGTCTGTCAGCTGCCTCTCCCCTTATGCTTCTTCTTCCTCCTGCCCCTCTCCCAATATTTCCCAGCTTCTCCCCTCTGCAGCCTCTGAACGATGCCCTTCTGCAAACCACTGTTCTGAATCTATACTGTCCTCCTCAGGAAGGTTCAGGAGGGGAGGACGGTCTCCACCATTCCTCCTCAGTCCAGTCCTTGACAGCTACTTCTTTAAACAGCCACGACTCCCCCCAAGGAATCCTGGGAAGTGTAGTTTGTTGAGGGTGCTGGGAGTTGTTCGGAGGCCCTTGTTCCCCTCATGGAGCTACAGTTCCCAGAGTGCTTTAAACACCAATCCCAATTCCCAGGGAACCGTAGCTCTGTGAGGGGAACAAGGGCCTCTGAACAACTCCCAGCACCCTCAACAAACTACACTTCCCAGGATTCCTTGGGGGGAGTCGTGGCTGTTTAAAGAGGTATCGTAGCGCTGTTGATTTAGAGCACTGGTGGGCTCCAGTTCTGCTCAGAGGGTACCGGGGGACCTTATATTTATAGCCTTCAATCTTCCAGACGGAAGGAAAGTGGGGTGTAAGTGGACCAAGATGGTGCAGTTGAAGGCTTACCTGGCTGGGGACCTCCTATGACTCCAGGTTGCATGCCATATGGCGGTGCCTGTTGGCCTTTCATATTTGGTCCAGGCCCCGGGACGGGATAGGGCTGGGGGTACGGAGCAGAATGGATGCCGGTTGTCTCGGTGTAAGGAGGAGGCTGGGCCCCCTGAAAGCCAGGAGCGGATGGATCCATTTTTCTGGGAGACAGAAAATGAACAAGCATGCATGTTGTTATTTCCTCAATATCTCGCCCTTTGTCCCAAAGGATGCAAATGCATCAAAAACACACCTTTTTTAAAAAAAAGTATTCTAAACGTAAGCTAGTGTTAAAAGCTTATCTTTCATATATAGATATATCATTAAATAAAATGAAGAGCCTAAATAAATGTTTTTACAGGTTGAAAGCAGCAGAAAGTATTCGTTCGTTCATTTATTCATTCGTCCATTCTCCACCTTTTCCCCTGATGGGATTCAGGGCAGCATGCAGATCAAACCAAGAATTGCTTAAAAACCAGAATCACTGCAGAATTGTTGGATATTGATAAAGTTATCACTGATCTGCTTGTTACAAAAAACATCCATTTTTCCATAAATCTTAGGCTGGTTTATATGTATTCTTTTAGCTCAGTCATAGTTACCATGGACCAAATTTCCTCAATCCATTCAGATACAATCACAGATATGCTCCACAAAGGGGGAGCCACCACCCCAAAGGCCCTGTTATGCATCAGCACCAACTAGGCAGCCCCTAGTGGTGACACCACCAGCGAGGTGGGCATAGAATGTAGGTGTTGTGCTTAGTAGCCATTTGTCTTATCTTCCACTGATTGTCTTAATTGAAAGAAGGAACTTCAGAATTAAAGCGAGATATGGATAGAGGAGAGGGACGCGGGTGGTGCTGTGGGTTAAACCACAGAGCTTAGGGCTTGCCGATCAGAAGGTCAGCAGTTCGAATCCCCACGACGGGGTGAGCTCCCGTTGCTTGGTCCCTGCTCCTGCCAACCTAGCAGTTCAAAAGCACGTCAAAATGCAAGTAGATAAATAGGTACCGCTCCTGTGGGAAGGTAAACGGCGTTTCCGTGCGCTGCTCTGGTTCACCAGAAGTGGCTTAGTCATGCTGGCCACATGACCCGGAAGCTGTACGCCGGCTCCCTCGGTCAATAAAGTGAGATGAGCTCCGCAACCCCAGAGTCGGTCACAACTGGACCTAATGGTCAGGGGTCCCTTTACCTTTATGGATAGAGGAAGAAGGTGGTCTGAAGAACATGTGAACCGCCCTGAGACCTTCGGGTATAGGGCGGTATAGAAATAAAATAAATAAAAATAAAATCAGACAAGCCATGTTGGAGCAGGCCAAAGGCCTACCTGCTGTCACAATGACCAATGGTGCTGTCACAATGGGAAACCTGAAAGATGGGAAACCTGCAACCAGGAGCTTAGCACAACCACAGTCTCCTCAATTGCGAGTCCCAGGAACTGTTCAGAGGCCTCCAGCAAGGCTCTGAATAATCAGAAGGAAGAAAGGCAGCAGCATTAATTTTAAGGCCAGCTAAAAATAGTCATGTTCTTAACTGGCTTTTGACATCATTGTTAATGCTGCTGCCTTTGTTAAGTCTGATAAACTAAACAGAGCGGTACTTTGTACAGTAGCTCTGCAGAAAAAGCCATAAACAAAAGATTATTATTTTTTAACCGCATTCAAAAAGCCTAGAAACCGTGGGTGACAACTTAAAGGAAGGAGATGGACTCGCCGGGTGACCAGTCACAGCCTCCCAGCCTAATCTACCTCACAGGGTTGTTTTGAGGATAAAAGGGGGAAAGGGAGGGGCAGAGAACCACCTTGATCTGCCTGCTGGAAAGGCAGTGTGTGAATGTACTACTACTAATCATAGTGAGAAGTATCCCAAAAGGAATAGAAGGGATTTCTCCTCTTCTGACAAGACTCTTAAAAGTGAATGCATTGCTGGCCTACTAGACCCAGGAAAGGGAATCTGTGGCTCTCCAGATGTTGCCCCATCATCTCTGGCCACTGACCATGCTGACTGGGGCTGATGGGAGTCCAACATCATCTGGAGGGACACAACCAGGGCTAGAAAGTCATACACAGGCATCCCCAAACTCGGCCCTCCAGATGTTCTGAGACTACAGTTCCCATCATCCCTAGCTAACAGAACCAGTGGTCAGGGATGATGGGAACTGTAGTCTCAGAACATCTGGAGGGCTGAGTTTGGGGTGCCTGGTCGTATGTATAAGCTAATCGCCAAATGCCATCTTAAACCAAGGTTGTGCTCGCCACAACGGAAACCCAGGCACCATGTTTTCCTCCAGTGGTGTTGTTGCTGTTGATTTCATTTCTATGCCTTTATATTTTAAAGAAAAAAAATCTCAAAGCGCTTTGCAACACATTAAAACATCAAAGGAAACAATCCAGAATAAAACAAATTCAAGCTTCCAGGAAAATGTTTCAGATCCTTCTCTGAGTGAGATTTGGCTTTCCCTATTTGCCTACTTAATTTATAGAGCAGCCTCATAGCAGAAGAATGCTAGGGAGCCAGTGTGGTACAGTGGTTAGAGTGTCGGACCAGGACCTGGGAGATCAGGGTTCAAATCCCCACTCGGTCCTGAATCTCACTGGGTGACCTTGGGCCAGTCACAGCCTCTTAACCTCCCTCACAGGGTTGTTGTAGGAGGGGGGAAAGCCCTGTACTCCTGGGGGAGAAAGGTGGATTCGAAATGCAATTAACAGCAGACACTCACTCTTGAGAAGAAGAATAAGACAACTGGATTTGATATTCCGCTTTATCACTACCTGAAGGAGTCTCAAAGCGGCTCACATTCTCCTTTCCCTTCCTCCCCCACAACAAACACTCTGTGAGGTGAGTGGGGCTGAGAGACTTCAGAGAAGTGTGACTGGCCCAAGGTCACCCAGCAGCTGCATGTAGAGGAGCGGGGAAGCGAACCCGGTTCACCAGATTACGAGTCCACCGCTCTTAACCACTACACCACACTGGCTCTTGAGATGTTGAACAGCCGGCTAGCTGTCCATGGGAGATTCAGAAGCAGAAGCAGCTCCTAGCTGCTTCAACATCCAGTGGTTAACCCAGACAAAAATATGACTTTCCACTTCCAACTATTAGCCAACCACAATCTTTGCATGCCCCACATCTTGCATTAAGTCAATCTTTCTCCAGAAAGAAACAAATGGCTACGTAAGCAAACTTGCGGCAACAAATTTCCCCATCCAGTTGCGCAAAGCATAGAGCTGTCTTTGGGATCAGCGGGTTCTTTTATTGCTCATCGGTTCACTGGTATTTTATCTGCAAGTATATCTTACCATCACTACCCAACAGCTACATGTGCAATACTACCCACAAAACCCACGTAGGAAAAAAACCCCCACAAGCTGCAAGATGGAGCAGGTTGGAGCCACCAGCCTTCAAGAGATCAGATCACACATGCAGGCCAGAAGACCCCACGGTGCCATAAGCAGAGTGAAAATGTGTTGCAGGAAGAACTGGGAGAGAGAATAAGGATCTCCTTATGGGAAAACCCTGTGTCAGCAGCACCAGTGACTTCTATGGGGCACAAAGCTAGGCAATGCATATGGAGGTCCTGGGCTAGCCAGATGACAAGACACCCCCCCCCCGCCTCACTGATTATATAATACAGTGGTACCTCGGGTTAAGTACTTAATTCGTTCCAAAGGTCCGTTCTTTACCTGAAACTGGTCTTAACCTGAAGCACCACTTTAGCTAATGGGGCCTCCTGCTGCTTCCGTGCCGCTGGAGCAAGATTTCTGTTCTCATCCTGAAGCATCCTGAGGTACTATTTCTGGGTTAGCGGAATCTGTAACTTGAAGTGTATGTAACCCGAGGTACCACTGTACAGGCACGTCCAACAGGTAGATTGTGACCTACCGGGAGGTCACTGAACATCTGTGGTTGAACGCTAGTAGATCAACAACTTTGGCTCCCCTAAAAAACAGGCCTTCCTTGTTCCTAAAAAACAACTTTGACCTGAACCCAAAAAAAGCGGGTCGATCACTGTCAGTTTTTAACTCTGAGTAGATCACACAGTCTCTTGGGAGTTAGCCACCCCTGATATAATACAATCATACCTCGGGTTACAGACGCTTCAGGTTGTGCGTTTTCGGGTTGCACACCACGCCGAACCTGGAAGTACCAGAATGGGTTACTTCCGGGTTTCAGTGCTTTGCGCATGCGCAGAAGTGCCAAATCACAGCCCGCGCATGCACAGATGCAGTGATGTGGGTTGCGAACACTGCAGGTTGCGAACATGTCTCCCACGCGGATCACGTTCTCAACTCGAGCGTCCACTGTAAATCCACATACAAACAAATGATCTTAAAAGCTGTAATGTTTAACCAGCTGTATTAGTAAACCAAAATGGGTTTCTTCCCACCAACCAAAGGACCCCACAATCAAATGAAGCGGCAGGTTTATTTTTAACCATTGAATCTTTAAAATACAATGGTACCTCAGGTTACATACGCTTCAGGTGACAGACTCCGCTAACCGAGAAAGAGTGCTTCAGGTTAAGAACTTTGCTTCAGGATGAGAACAGAAATCGTTGGCACGGCAGCAGCAGGAGGCCCCATTGGCATGGCAGCAGCAGGAGGCCCCATTAGCTAAAGTGGTGCTTCAGGTTAAGAACAGTTTCAGGTTAAGAACGGACCTCCGGAACGAATTAAGTACTTAACCCGAGGTACCACTGTACATAAATGTAAAGGGTGCCATTCCCTTCAGAACTACATGTAACCAAATAAACACCCCGTGTTTCTTTATCTGGGAAGCAGGCTCAGTCGTTTCCGGGAGGTGGAACAAAAAGAACAAGTCTCACCGCTTGGCCTGGCAAGCTGCCTGCAGGTGGTTTAAGTCCTCGGCCGTTCCGGCTTCCAAATGTGAAAAGGGGGTTTGCAGAGCACAGCCATGCGGAGCGAGGAATAAATAATGCAGATGGCACCCCGATGCTTTCAGCAGCCCAAAGTACACAGTATGATAAGAGGATGCCGGCTTCCTGTCCAAGCTGGTGTGTTTGCTCAGGGAACAGCTCTATTATCTTTCCAAAGATACTCTTCCACCTACCTGGCCTGCAATGAAGCATAAACTTCCGTGTTGTAGACATTGCATATATATAATTTATACATGCAGGCTGAAAAGGCCTTTTTTTTTTTTAC